GCACCATTCAATATATCGCAAGCCCGATGTAGTTTACACGCCAATAAACGTCAAAATTATGACAACCAATCCTTAAATAAAAGACAGCCACTATTTTTGTTTGCTGATACAAACAACAGTCAAAAATAACAACTCGACCAATACACGACTTCTAATACGTATACAATTTAACGTACATGTAGCAACACATAAACATTTAATAACATGTATTTCAATATTAAGCGTATATATATAAATACTTTCCAGTGTTTCAATCAAAATACATTTCCAGCATTTTGAGAATTTTTACACCAATTTCACAAAAATAAATTCTATTAATGTCTTGATGTAACAAACAATTGATTGCGACCGTAAACCTGATAATTATATTGTCGGAAAACCAAATCACAAAACAATGTTATCAAGTGGCACTTTTGACAAACAGCATTATCAACAAACTAATGAACCTATCGCGTTATTGCCTCTCGTCCGCATGGATACGAGCGAATGGATTCCAAAGTAGCGTACGTAGGAGCAACACGGACTCATTACCGACAATGAACCGTAATGATCAATTGAATGATGACGTAATTACCTGAGAGCACCACTGAAAAGGCAGGACACAAACAGTCCCGGTATACCAGGCATGTGACCGAGCACGTCCATCACAAACAGGGGAAGCAACTGGAACAGATCAAACAACATTCAGCAAAGTTTGATACAGAAATAACAGGAGAGAAACTAACAAACAGAAAGTGATCATGGGACGCAAGCCATTTTAGAACAAGATACTCTTGTGATTTGCCGAGAATTATCTGTACTGATGTGTATCAACGGTAGGAAGACATGGCAAAAGCGTATGTCACCCTTATTGTCATCAATTCACATAGAAAATCTTTGAAAAAAATAAACGTTTAAAGAAATAAATCAGAAGTAATGTTTTTAACACAATAGTATTAAAAAAAGAAATTGCCAACTTTCGAAAACATATGTTTCCGTTGTCATGCAAAAAGTGCAAATGAACGTTGATTCGACCCTAACCTGCTAAAACCAAGTCACTGGGCCACAATGTGCCGTGCCAAATAACACTCTAAAACCAAGTCACTGGGCCACAATCTGCCGTGCCAAATAACACTCTACAACCAAGTCACTGGGCCACAATGTGCCGTGCCAAATAACACTCTAAAACCAAGTCACTGGGCCACAATGTGCCGTGCCAAATAACACTCTAAAACCAAGTCACTGGGCCACAATGTGCCGAGCCAAATAACACTCTAAAACCAAGTCACTGGGCCACAATGTGCCGAGCCAAATAACACTCTAAAACCAAGTCACTGGGCCACAATGTGCCGAGCCAAATAACACTCTAAAACCAAGTCACTGGGCCACAATGTGCCGAGCCAAATAACACTCTAAAACCAAGTCACTGGGCCACAATGTGCCGAGCCAAATAACACTCTAAAACCAAGTCACTGGGCCACAATGTGCCGAGCCAAATAACACTCTAAAACCAAGTCACTGGGCCACAATGTGCCGAGCCAAATAACACTCTAAAACCAAGTCACTGGGCCACAATGTGCCGAGCCAAATAACACTCTAAAACCAAGTCACTGGGCCACAATGTGCCGAGCCAAATAACACTCTAAAACCAAGTCACTGGGCCACAATGTGCCGAGCCAAATAACACTCTAAAACCAAGTCACTGGGCCACAATGTGCCGAGCCAAATAACACTCTAAAACCAAGTCACTGGGCCACAATGTGCCGTGCCAAATAACACTCTAAAACCAAGTCACTGGGCCACAATGTGCCGTGCCAAATAACACTCTAAAACCAAGTCACTGGGCCACAATGTGCCGAGCCAAATAACACTCTAAAACCAAGTCACTGGGCCACAATGTGCCGAGCCAAATAACACTCTAAAACCAAGTCACTGGGCCACAATGTGCCGAGCCAAATAACACTCTAAAACCAAGTCACTGGGCCACAATGTGCCGAGCCAAATAACACTCTAAAACCAAGTCACTGGGCCACAATGTGCCGAGCCAAATAACACTCTAAAACCAAGTCACTGGGCCACAATGTGCCGAGCCAAATAACACTCTAAAACCAAGTCACTGGGCCACAATGTGCCGAGCCAAATAACACTCTAAAACCAAGTCACTGGGCCACAATGTGCCGAGCCAAATAACACTCTAAAACCAAGTCACTGGGCCACAATGTGCCGAGCCAAATAACACTCTAAAACCAAGTCACTGGGCCACAATGTGCCGAGCCAAATAACACTCTAAAACCAAGTCACTGGGCCACAATGTGCCGTGCCAAATAACACTCTAAAACCAAGTCACTGGGCCACAATGTGCCGAGCCAAATAACACTCTAAAACCAAGTCACTGGGCCACAATGTGCCGAGCCAAATAACACTCTAAAACCAAGTCACTGGGCCACAATGTGCCGAGCCAAATAACACTCTAAAACCAAGTCACTGGGCCACAATGTGCCGAGCCAAATAACACTCTAAAACCAAGTCACTGGGCCACAATGTGCCGAGCCAAATAACACTCTAAAACCAAGTCACTGGGCCACAATGTGCCGAGCCAAATAACACTCTAAAACCAAGTCACTGGGCCACAATGTGCCGAGCCAAATAACACTCTAAAACCAAGTCACTGGGCCACAATGTACCGAGCCAAATAACACTCTTAAACTGCGGATAGTCAGAGAGAACGGTGATATATTTACCCATTTCAGTCTTAAATAGATGTTTAAATGGGGATAAGTATTAGCTTGTTATACAAAGCGTCCGCGATACTTGAACTTCTGCTATGATGAGCTGGGCACAAATACGACGCTTAAGAAAGAGAGTGGAGATATTTCTATACTCGTATGACGTAATGAATGCAACATCTCAAAAAAGGCGAATGTAATGCTATGTCCGAATAACGTATCGACATCTTTATCCAGCACTGTGGACAAAATCGTCTCTATACAAACAAAGCTATCTATAACCTATAACGTACACCGTTTTTCGGATATATCTTTCTCACCAGGATCATGCTTGCTGATTGCATAACCGAAAAACTCCAAATAGTGTCAGATTCTACTCTGGTTAGAGTCTTTGTTGTTGTAGATTATCGAAGTAATGTCAAGAATGTTCCTATGGTGACTTTTCAACGGGGAGAAACAATCGAAAATGTTTGAGTTCTCGTCAGCAATATGTTAGGATTATGATCTGTTGGCTCCAGATAGCTGTTTCCTTCACTTTCTATCGCTATTTCCTTTACATTTCTAGTCTCCAGTTTACTGAAGACCGTATACACTATAGAGGATCACACCAGGTGACTGGACAGTCTTACTTGATCTGAAGCGTCGATCAGTCCGAATGACAGGGGGTCGCAGGTTTGATAGAAGGCGTATATGACGGTTCCTATTAAACAGCACAGGAGCAGGATAACACAGAGTCCTGGGAAGTTGAACCAATAGGCACTGTAAAAACATGAGGCTACGTTAGGTCACAAGGCAACAATATTATCATGTTTTTTAAATGGAAAGTCTCTACGCTGATTTTCCCAATGCGTGTCTCCCTGATACAAGTCAGGTAACCCCGTATCTATAGCCTTACTAATTGCATGTTAATATTTACCCGCGAGTTTAATTGTTACGATCTATTCTCACCGATGTCAGTGGGCATTCATAGGGCTATGAATAGCGAACCAGGATAAACAAGAAAGAAAAGAAACTGTACATGCCTACTGAAAACTGTGTGATGCCAAAATACACACACATGTATAGCACCTTACATCTTACAGTTTTCTGAAGATTCATGCTACGGGACATTATCCTAAATAACGTCCTAAAACAGAGTGTTTACTATCAATTGATTTGTATACACATGTTTCCTAGCACTACAAAGTTTTACAGGACACGAAGTTGTTTACATATCACACTACAGTGTACGCTGACATTATCTCAATAACCAATGTTCCCGCGAACTAATAATCATCTCGCGACCCCTGTACCCTGACGATATAACGTGACAAGTATTACAAAAAACACTGCGTTTGTTAAGAAAACAATTTAAATTGTGAAAATACAGATACTGTTAGGGTATCAAAATGATGTAAGTAAAACTTAAAATAAAATTCAAACCATCAAGTGAGAAATGTAAAATAAGCCCATAGTCACTGTAGTATAGCCTGTACGTTGAAAAAAGTTGGGACTGTTTGAAAGATAGCGACCGCCAGTCGACGACGAGTTTGAATTTACTCAAAAAACGTGTTCAAAAATTAATTCTGAGTATTTATGGAACCATGATATAGGTTAAGAAGCCTTTACAGATTAATAATAATCTAAAATAGTTGCAAAATATTCTATAAACAAGTAGAAATATGCATTTTAAAGAGGTGACCTATATTTATATTTGTGCGGTTTGGACACTTCGTAACTTACGACTGTGTACGGTTGAGACATTGGATGAAAAGTTGTAAAATTGTACGGTGGGGACTGTATATTCGCACATAGGATTGAGCGGTTGGGACTTCCATCATTTAATTTTTTGACTATCTTTATGATTGCAGATACAAAGAAACATAGTTTACCAATGGAGCTGCACTTCTGTTACGATTTAGCCTTGGAGATGAAAATCTGCAGAACATCATTGACATTCCATGCTCAATAATGGAAATACATACTTGAAAAATTGAAGTACAAAACTTGATCCTTCTTAAGGAAACAATAGATTACAGACGCATAAATGTAATATCATTCCCCGAAAATATTCATCAAGTATATTCTCATTAGTCTCTGATGAAATTATTAATTAAATTAATTAAATTAATATTGACCCAAAGCCAGCTGTACTGTCACAGCACAATCATGATGAGGGAAACAAGCTTTACTGACATGTACAGTTGGATGTGGGTCAATAATAAGAACATATGAACCACTTTCATCAGAGACTTAATGAGACGAATGAACAAGGATCAAGTTTTGTACTTCGAACTTTCAATACGTTGTTTTCAATGCTTGAGCATGAAATGTCAATGATATTCTGCAGATTTTCATCCCCAATGCTACATTCGTTACAGAAGTGCAGCTCCATTGGTAAACTATGTTTCTTTGTATCTGCAATTATAAAGATAGTCAAATGATGGAAGTTCCAACCGCTCATTCCTATGTGCGAATATACAGTCCCCACCGTACAATTTTACAAATTTGCATACAATGTCACAACCGTACACAGTCGTAAGTTACGGAGTGTCCGAACCGCACAAATATAAATCTAGGCCACCTCTCTAAAATGCATATTTTTACTTGTTTATAGAATATTTTGCAACTATTTCAGATTATTATTAATCTGTAAAGGCTTCTCAGCCTATCTCATGGTTCCATAAATACTTAGAATTAATTTTTGACCCGTTTTTTTGAGTAAATTCAATCTCGTCGTCGACTGGCAGCTGCCATCTTTCAAACAGTCCCAACCTTTTCAGCGTACAGCCTACACTACAGTCATTACTTATAAGGTACAGTATGGTATATATTTTTTATCTATAACTCTGTCGTTATAATGGAGTAAACTAGATTTACCACTGTTATCTGTTCTATCAATGGAACAAGATAGGGTGGGCTTTTAGTGTCTAAATCATCTCTCAATTTTAAATCAAAAAGCAAATAAATTATCACAATGGCAGCTATCTTTTTCAAATATCATCGGTTCCAATAGCTGGTTCCATTAAGGCTAGCAATCACCTTATCTGCGTTAAGACGCGTATAAATTCTGCAGAGCTAGCCGTGGGTATCCAACGGCATTTTGTAAACCTTTTTGTGCCGATATTACAGGCCATCACACTGTGAGACTGCCTGAAGGTAGCGCACTGGCTGCAGCACACCGATACACTACTCTATCACGTATGCTATATAATATCTACAAATTTATTATTTCATGCGATGGTTTATTGAATCTGTATAAGTACTTGCTACTGAGCCTTCCTCATTGTGGGACACGTGATGGCCCGCTGAATCTGTATAGGTACTTACTACTGAGTCTTCCTCATGGTGGGGGGGTACCTGATGGCCCGAGGAATCTGTGTAAGTACTTACTACTGAGCCTTCCTCATTTTGTGACACGTGATGGCCTACTGAATCTATATAAGCACTTACTACTGAGCCTTCCTCATGGTGGGTACAGGTACTTATTACTGAGCCTTCCTCATGGTGGGCCACGTGATGGCCCGCTGGATCTGTATAGGTACTTACTACTGAGCCTTCCTCATTGTGGGACACGTGATGGCCC